GATATGCTCTACACAATTTTTAATATGTAGCACAACCACAAAAATAAAAATCTAAACTGATAGTAGGCAACAGAAATTCATAAAATATCATACATTATAATAAAGTAATTTGAAAAGAGGAACATTTATCTATGGCCAAAAGCCAAAAAAATGGAAAAAAAAAGGGTTTTCTCACTAACAAATACTGAATTGCCTTTGACAAATTTATAAAGATTTTATCATACACTTTAACATATTTTTATTTTTGTTTTCCACTTGAAGTCCAACCTTGTAATTGATATCAAAAAGACATCACTGCCTCGTACAAAACACAGGCACACAACAGGACTAGGAATACATGCTTCACCTCCCACAATCTCGAAAGCCCTCCTACAGAAAATACTATTATGCTTTCTGCTCAGTACGTTTAAGTGTTTATTAAGTCGTTCAGATATGTATAATCCATTGATATCAGGGTCATCTGTACTATAACTTAAATATTAAGTAAATATAACACATAAAATCAGGCTTCACGTGCCTTGGCACACCTCGAAAATAGTCTTTCAGTGTCTTCCCTGTAAAATGTTGACTGTTTAAGTTTTTTAGGGTTAAATAAATTGTAATAAAAGAGGAAAAACAAGAGAAAAAAGGGTAATAAAATGATATAACAACAATAATAATAATATCATCATAACTCAATTACTTTATCCAAGATAAATATAATGAGCATCGTCTATCGCTGTTATACTGATGACTTCTTATGCAACAGTTGTGTTTGTCTCAAGGCCAGGTTGCACTGGCTAGAACGCACAAAAAATTATATATATAAAGAAAAAAAAAGAAAAAAAAATCTGCTGTATTCTCTACCAGTCCGTCTTTCTGGTCAAGTTGAAACAAATAAATAAATAAATAAAATAAAAATTATTTTTTTTTCTTTACAAGCTTCAAAAGTTCCACTGAAAGTACCATTTTGTTACAACCTCTTTGCACTAACACTAGTCACTGTCTTCAGACACTGATGATAATTCTAGGTCGTTCATGAGACAGTTTGATCCATTTGGTATAGTTCCACATCCAGCACCTAAAACAGAAAATCAGTTCAATTTCTTAGCATAAACAAACAACAATTAGAAAACAGTCTCTCTCTTTACTGAAAATGAGTAAAAATATATCAATCTATGTACATACACAATGACAAAATCAACTGCAATTTATTTTTTTTTCTATACATATATCAGCATTTGTGAAAAAAAAAAAAAAAATCATATACAAGAAAAAATAAACAGAAGGTTCACTTGACAAATCTCATAATAATGAAACTATTGCAAGTACATAAACAAACAAAAGTAGAGTAGAGGAGAAGAGAGTAAAGAGGAGGAGCAATGAAACAAAGAGAAATAAGGGTAAAAAAGGAAAAGCAAGAAACATTAGAAGAAGAAAAGAACCAAGGAACAGGCACCCCAAAGGACATGCCCCCTTCCCCTTGTCTTGCTCCTTCTGCTTACCATATCCATTGGCTTTCTTGCCTCTGTTGTCCTGCTCGGGCTCTGAGTCAGAATCGGAGTCGCCGGAGGACGATGAGCTGCTATTGCTGTCTGAGTCGCTGGATGAATCGCTCATCATGGACCCAGTCTGCAAGGATAGGAGAGAAAATGTCAGGATGTGTGAAGGGGGTGCATATGCTTTGTGTGTGTCTGGAAAAGAATGGGGAAGAGAAAGGAGAGGGATGGAGTGGGAAGGAAGGTGGAAGAGGGAAGGAAGGAAGAAACAGATAAAGATGATAAAATGAGAGGGATAAAGAGGAAAGGGAGGTGGCAGAGGGTAAAAAGAAGAGGGAAGGAGGAAGAGGACAGAGAGGGACTAAGGGATGGAAAGGAAATGAGGGAAGAAAGGGGGAGAAAATGAAGATACAGAGGGCAGGAAAAGAAAAGGAGAGTACATAAGAAGAGAAGAGGAGAAGAGAGGATAGAAGAGCAGAGAAAATAGTGAAGAGGAAAAAGAAAAGGAGGCAGAAAAGTAGAAGTAGGGGAAGGAAGAGAGGACGATGGCATAAGGATTAAAATGAGACAAAAAAGAAGGCATTAAAGAATACAGGAATATACTGAGAAATGTCTAACATGATGTTCAGCAACATTTCTGTTTCTATATCAATAACCTTTACACACACTACTTACATCAGATGTTGAATTTCTCTGTATGGACTTAAAAAAAAAGGAAAAAGAACAACATCAATTAATAAATCAGTCCATTTGAATATAAAGAATAACTAAATAAAGACAAAAAAGATAGTAAGGTGAGGAAGATTACGGGAAAATAAAAGTAAGACTGAAAGACAAAGAACAGACATTAATAAAACTTTAAGAACAGTTAAACTCATACTATTAAAGTTTTCATATATCAGCAAAGCTTTTTTACCTTATATTGTCAGGGGTAGCATATATGCATGCTGTGAGTTTAATCTATTAATTATCTCTACACATAGATGGCTCTACAAGTAATAATTTGCCAATGAGCTAATTACAAGTACTACCTAACACACCTGTTTACCAATTTCCTTGATTTTTCCACAAATTCAAGGAAAGGTCAAAGAAAGTGAAGTCACAATGTCTAGTAATTAATTCCTTAAGGGCTAATCATTTGTAGCACCTTCTATGCATTGAGACATTTCAGAAAACAATACTACCATTAATACAACATTTTCCTGGCAACCGTGGGTTAAGATTTATGAATGTGTCCTAAATATCATACTCGGTTAACAAATATCAGTGACAGAGATACTATGTACCTCAACCTCCAATCCCCGCACCCCACCCCTTCTGGAAAACATGCTCTATGAGACTACAAAATGAATATAAGATTTCCAATATCTTATATATATTTCAAACTATAAGTGGTGGTGAGAAGATTGGCACACCTTTGTGGTCTGTGATTACTTCTCTCTTGGAGTGATAATGATGTACATCGCTTCTTGTGTACTCTAAGCCAGATTGTAGTAAATTATAAGTATGTGTTTCTTCTTGTTTCTATAATTCAAATCTTATTGTTCTGTCCACAGGGGAAGACCCCAGAAAAAAAATTGCATGCTCTAACTAATTGAAATCTAAATTTCTCTTACCTCTTTATTAACCCAAAACCACCAGGAAAATGTAGCGTTCACTGTTGTATTGTTTTAAAACCATTAATCAAAACTTCATAGCAAGTATGAATCAAAGACACCTAAATTCCCAAATGAATATAGAATATATATACTGTCATAAAATATCATTATTATCTAGACTGACATAAAATAAGTCAAATACCAAAAAACGAAAAAGAAGAAAACAAAAATAGTTAGTTTAATTTCATTATGCTTTCATAAGCAATGTCAAAATTCAAATCCTGAACAAAAAATAAAATGAAAAATGAAAAATAAAATAAAACAGTAATAATAGTAATAACAATAAAAACAATAATAATATTAACAATAATGATGATGATGATGATGATGATGATACAAAAAATATAAGAAAATAAAAAAATGAAATAAAATAAATTAAACCATATGATGAAATGCCCAAAGAGAACTAATAATCTGCTCTTCAAAATATTACAAAATATAATCCTTATCATCAAAGGCCACAAGTAAACAAAAACCAACCTTATTCTCTGGAATATTATCGTCGAAGCCCAACATGGGCATGGAGCCAGGAGCTGTGCAGTGGTTATTGTTGGGGCTTTTGCTGGGGATGGGGGACCTTGCGTGCGGTGATGATTTGGAGGGTGGAGAGAGCTTGGCATGCGAGGGTGACGGCCGCGAGTATGGCAGTGAGTTGGATGAGCCTCGTGAGGGGGGATGGGAGGGAGAGCACTTCTGAGGAGGTGAGCTTTTTCTGGAAGGGTCGAGGGGCGTTGGGGGGCGCTGCGTGGGCAAACGGCTGCTGCCTTCTGGCCTGAAATGAACAAAGGAGTTGAAAGAGAATATTAGGGATCTGAATTTATTTATGGGTGCAATAAGGATAATTTTTCTTTGACTAAAGCATATTAAATTAACCCCTACAATCTGGATGACAATACCATCACGTCATATGTGCCCAGCCTACAAGCCCCACACCCACTGAAGTAAGCTTAATGCCTGTATTTTGGGCCACATGATGGTAGTGATACATCTGGATCCAATAGCTTAAACTATTAAAATTTAATCACATCTCTTTTCTAACTGATAACCAATCTCCTATCTGAACCCTGACATTCTATCCTTCTAATATTTTGATATATCAATAACTGAAATCCAATTTGCAATATGCAAGGCATTTATGCAAAAGGAAAAAAAAAAAGACTTGGGTATATATATATATACACATATTTTAAGTACCTAAAAAATACATATAAATACCTGGTAGTTTTAACAATAATGGCTTGTGATATGCGCTCAAGGACGATTTCGCCTGTTGTGTGGTCAATTATGAGGATGCACTCCTTGGCTACTGGTTTGTGATTTCCTTTGAAGACCGTTTGCGCAGTGCCGGCTCCTTCGACATGTGGCACTGTCACCGTCACCTGGTGGTTGCCTTCCACCTCCACCGTGCCCATCTTCTGCTTGTCCACGCTGGCTGGTTTGAAGTCATCTGTAATAGGGAGAGCAAGAAATAATAATTTTTGTCTGGTTTAGCTAAAGCAAGACCTGTTAATAATGCCTAAAAGGTTTTTGGTTGTGTTTTGTTCATCTCTATGAATATACACATATCTAAACTCTCTGATTCTTCTTGTTGTTTGGACCTTTCTTTTAAACCAATCCATTCCCTCCACAAAGAAATGTAGTTATTCATGCAACTTTTTCTTTTCACTTTCCCTAAATTATGAACCTCAAGAATGGACTCGCCTAGAACGGACTCCAAATCTCCTTCGCCCCAAATACACTATCTTGATCCCAAGAGATTAATGAGACTAAGGAGCCTCTTCTGTAGAGACTATGCAATATTAACTCAAATTCTGGCTACTGAATCTGTAAGTTAAAGTCATCAATTGACCTCTACTAGCCATATTTAGTTCCCCATAATTTCCTTTTCCCCAAGATGAAGTTTTAGCTGATAGGCTGCTATTTTTACACCAAAAAGGAAATCTAAACAATAAATAAATGACAAAAGTAATATGAATAATAATACACAAACAGTTATAAAGATTGCTATAAATTAGCCTTTTCAGTAAGCAAGTGTTTTCCTTCAAAAATTACAAAGAAAGTTTGTATATATAGACTACCTGTAATAACTAATATTACCTCCAAAGACTAAAGCATTACTGTCAATATCAAAGACATTTGGAATTAATGCTCCCACTTCTCTATTTTATTTTAACAAGTTTAGACATTTGTAAGAGTCCAGGATCCTGTTGAAAAGTCTCTAAATCAACAGGAACCTGCAGAAAATGAAGTGTAAATGCCTGATTAATAAATCTCTAGTACATACATTTCTGATGAAGATAGAACTTATAAATATCCCCGGTGATCTATGTTTAAATAAAGAACCAGTGCAAGTTCTATTAATTACAATGCTTTGATTTTTTATATTGTTTCAAGCAAATCATTAATTTCTTAAAAATGGTTCAGATGATGCATGAATTGGTCAAAAATTTATAAATCTTACAATATTCAGAATTCAGATCTTTAAGCATCCTCAATATGCCCTAGCTTTGTGCATTTGTACAGCAAAGATTAATCAAATAGTACATTCACCAAAGAGTATATTGGATAAGAAATGAAGGAATACCTCTTTCCTCTTTCCCTCATAAGTAAATATTCATGAGAGAGAGAGATAGAGAGAAGGAAGAAAAGTATAACAATAACAAAGTGAGATTAATGTTCACTCACAATAATAGTAGAAATTAGCATTGCCCTGGATGCGAAAGTTCAATGAAATATTATTTATAATCATGTATTTTAAGGGCTCATCTGTCTCACTGAGCACATCCGCTGGGCTTGGTAACATGATAAGATTCTGGAGGTCAGATGTGAAGCCACATTCTGGCTGGATTCTAAGTCAGGACAGTTAATGAGCGTTCTGCATTATCTCTTATGGGTAAATGTCTAGAAGAAACACACTGTCTACCGCTGTCTCACACCAATAGCGCAGCCTCCGCAAGTGTTAGCATTCAGGCAGACGTTAATGAACCTCTGCCTTGTAGATCTCCTTGGTCATCTACTTTCATATAAAGGACTAATCAAAGCCGTCTTATCTAAATAGATATGATGGGGATCGGATGTTCTTTACCGGAGTGCAAAGGTGTATAGGCTGTGGTGATCACCTGAAGCTACTTCATGACAGCTGGTCTACCATCACAGGTCGTATCAAGTTTCAAGTAGATACAGACTGCACATAGCCAATAATATTAAGAATAACGCTCATTTATAGCCTTTACTAGGATTTCCAAAAGCATAAACCAAATTTTGTTCTGATCCATTAAAAAAAAAAACAAATGTAAGAAAAAACTGAAAAAAATTCAGTAATTCTTTACAGTATGGATGCAACTTGCCAGAGAGTGTCTCCAACATGTAGCAAAATTAAATCAACAAAGATTATAGAACTGGGCATAAGGAAAGGACCGATGAGAAGTCTGCCCCTCAACACCCAATGGCAAACATCATCTTCATCTAGGCAAGACTGGGCTAAAATGCAGGCACAGCGAGCGGATTTGGACTGTAAGCGCCACTTACCGCAATCTTATTTCCTTTATTTGTGGCATTACAGTTTGTGCCTGCAGATTATCTATGCACCGACAACCACAACATTCTTCCCCCTACAAAAACATCGCCTCTAATAAGCCCCAACTTCACGCGTCCATACCGAAAAGATTATAACCAAAGATTTCACATTCAGACCTACGTAAAAGAAGGTTTACGCCGTTCAATACTTACACCGCAGAGTATGGAAAGCGCCTTCCTTGTAATTCTTGCTAAACGTCTCTCCCAATTCCATATCCTTCACTTTGCCATCTAAGCCAAGTCTGTCCGCCATGGTAAGACGCGATTGTTTTTTCTCCCCTCGTTTCTTAGTGAGCGGTTTCTCTCAATGATCAATTTACACTTTTTAAAAAATGTTGAAAGGGGTAAAGGAAAAAAAAAGGTCTAAAGGTAAATTCTTATACAATGTGGAATTCCTTGACCTTTTCTCAAGTAAGTGTTCCTCTCGGTGATATGATATGTACGAATCCGCCAAAAACAGGAAGGAAACAAGGAGAGAGAAGGAGAGAGAAAAAACACAAACGAAAAAAACGAAAAAGAAAGCCGAAAAATCCGATATATAATACGAAGAAGCTCGTGTCAAGTCCTGAAACACACACACACCAACACGGCTCGACAGATTTTCCCTCTTTTCCGCTCTTTACGGCTTAATCACTCCACATTTCGTCCCGGCACCGCATTCATCTCATGTTCCTTGGGTTCTCTGGGGCCATGGCGACATCGTGGCGAATTCCCTCCGCTGGAAAAGGGAGGAAATGTGCAAGAGACGAGTTTCCTTTCCTCCGAACAGCTGGTTTCAAGGCGAGAAA